GCGTTCTTCCGCATTCGAAGCGCAACGTCCGCAACGCTCGCCGTGCTTCAGCGCGACTCGTTTCGACTTTAGCCGCGTCCGTCGATAACCGGGAAGATTTATGCCGACACGTTTCTCTTCTATCGATCAGCGAACGACCGTTTTCGACGAAACATCGGGTCGGCAGAACTCTCGAAACATTTGGTAGATCTCTTGTTCGGATCGGTCGGAACGTGCGAATTTATGCGAGTCTAGCCCGAACTCGTAGCGTCTACGCGTGTCCGTTCAAGGTAAAGAAACGGAATGTCCGGTATGCGTCGGCGAAGATAGGAACTCTTTCGAGCAGGACGCGAGACGCGACACGACGCGAGCCTGGCGACTGGATTCCTCTTATCTATCCCCTCTCGCTGCTCCGTTTCTTCTCCCCCTCCCGGTGTTCCCGACGCATCGCGTCGTGCCGCGCCGCGCCGCGCCGTCGCGCCTGCCTCGCTCGCTCGCCACGGATCCGCGCATTCACATGTTTGCATGTCGCGTGTTCGCACGTTCACGAGTTCACGAGTTCACGCGTATCGCCATCCATCGCGCGAATCGTTCGGAAATATGGATTTAACCTTGCTTCGATCGAGAGGTTGGTCGCGCGCGTAACTACCGGGCTTTCCGGAAATAGTGGTTTCCTCGATTCGTTTTACCGCTAAGAGATACGAAACGATCGACGTCGACGAGCAACGTTGTCCGGTACACGTTCCTCGACATCGCGCGCCACCGCGATGCACGCGAACGCGAAAGGGATCGGTTCGGTCGCTGGATATACGTGCACGCCTCGCACGCCGGCAACGCGTCGAACAACCGTTTGGCATTGGCATATCGGGGAGGTCGCTGCACGCAAATATCGAGGTTGCACGCGTCTTCCTACTCGAACCCTGCGTAGACGAACTATCGGTTTACGATCGCGCGCGGTCAGGAGCGGGGCGAGCATTGTAATCGAGCGAGACGATACCGGATGGCGGAAAGTAATCGACCAAGGACGAAACGCGAACCGTACCGCTGCGTGCGAGTAGTTCGGTATCCGTGCAAGCACTATCTACGCGCGCGTACATACGTATATCCGGTAGCAAAGTGCTCGCCGACCGTCACGAGTGCTCTACGTATCTCGGCCGTAAAGCGGTAAACGGGAGCGAAACGATTCGCGGACGCTCGATGAACCGTCTGCTGTGTACCGATCGCGGAGAGTACGATCGTATCCTCGCGTGTCCTCTCGCGTACTCTCGCATTCCCTGGCATGCGAACGCGTGCGAGAATTTTAACCTCGTAACGGTGCTTTTCATAGTTGTTCGCTATACGTATATTCGTTAGGGTACCGAGGAGCGCTTAAAACGAACGCGTGATTAAACTTTTTCGAAAGTGCGACGGAGACGCGTAAATGAATCTAAATCGAGATTCTGCCTGTCTCGGCTCGATCGTCGACCTTCGTTCATTTTACCCTTAAATAATTCCCGGTTAGCGGTTAGCGATTAACGGTCAACGGTTAGCAAAACGATCGGCAAATCGATCTTTTGTCCGGAAAGATCGAACGTTATACGGATAGTAAAGTTTTACGAGCAGCAGTTTTCTACTCCGTTTCGGGACAAAGAGAAGAAGAGAGAGAAACTCGAAGCGAGTCGAGTACGCGTTCCTCTCGCGCTCCAACGACGATGCTGTTTTTGGATACCGAGAGGGAAACGATTCTTCGCGGGTCCACCGATTTCTTCTCCATGCCTTCTCCGAGCCCCTCGAATTCAACGAAACGTAGCCCTCTTTCGTTTCCCTCGAGCTCCCGAAGCGACCGACACACCCCCGGACATCGGTCTCGCTTTGCCCCGATGGTAGCGCGTTACCTCTTACAATTAGCATCTCCTACGGTATTAGAACGAGTTCGGAAATTGGCATTCTTCTTTGGATTCGTGCGTATCCTGGCCCGTGCGACGACTCCCTTTACAAATGCTCGGATCGGTTCTCGACTGTACAACGTGTCACGAGTCGTGACTCACGAGCTAACGAAGAACCATGGCAACGGGCGAGAGAACGCGCGCGTTGCTCTCGTTCTCGGTTCTCTCGTTTCTCTCGGTCAAGATGGGGCGGGAGAACGAAGCTCGGCGAAAAAATAACGAGACCTACGATTTGCCCGTAGATATCGACGCGCGCCGCGCCGCGCCGGTTCAATTGAACGGCATGCTGTAACGTTGCACGTAGTCGGTCGCTGCGAAATAGAGAACGACGCGTGAAACGGGTATCGTGATGTACCGACCGGATGCCACTTCCTGCTTACCCTTGCCGCGACTACGCATCGTCGTAACGCGCAACCGTGCTCCAACGATAGGTATAAGACGACGCGTGGCCGAGGGTAGCTTCACCCTCGATTCGGCTCAGGAAATTTCTCTACTCGCAGGTTCGAAAACAGGGTTCGACGGTCCGAACCGTTCGATGCGCGCTTTATACTTGGCAACTTTTGCATCGATTTTACTCGACCCGTTGAGGCTGTTCGAAGAGACAGAAATCTAGCGTCGGTCCATGATACATCGGATACCGGTTACTCCGGTGGAAAATATCGATGTCCGGTACGAAAAGCAGAAGACGGCAAGAAGATACCGATCGGTCGGTGCAAGAAGCAGAGTCGACGCGCCAGTTTCTCGATAACCGGGTTTCCGAGGGATCCCCGATATCTCTTCGCGCTCGCTCGTTCGCTCTTCTCCCGTCCTTCGTCCTTCGTTCTCCATTGTTCGACCTTGAAAGAACGGAGAACGCGTTACTCGCGTCGATCGTATCCGCAGGCTGAAAACTGTACGGAAAATCGAATCTTTTCGCGTCTCCGATTTATCTTCTCTCTCCGTCGATACACCAGTGGCTGGGAAATTTGGCAAGGAAGGAGAAGAGAAACGGCGTTACTCTCGCAAGAACGATAAATAGCGCAGGAAGCGGCAAGGTTCGAATTTCGCGATAAGCGATTTACAGCCGCGACTTTCGGAGACTCGGCTGCGAACGCGCGTGCGTCGGTGCTGCCCCCTCCCACTCTCTATTTTTTTTCTCTTTTTCTCTTTCTCCCCATGTTTTGCCATTGATTTGTCCTTGATTTTGAAAGCGCGGTTCGTTTCCAGGCAAATGGTAAACCGTGTTATCGTAACTAGGTAAAAAGTGAAAATTGTCGGGGGAAGGGAGGACTTTCTAAAGAAGCATGGAGAACGCGCCGCTCGAAAAGTCCTGGAAAAGCCTGTCGCTCCACTCGCGATCCTTCGATTCCGCGATAAGGACCCGGCCCGACGCGCGACGGTCCGAGAAAGTCTTTCTCCGAACGCGGACACGAATCTCGAAATTCTAGACGCGCGCGACGCCGTCGAGCGTCCTGGTCGAGAAACGAATTTATTCGTGGCCGTGGCATCGCTCTCGACCCGGTGTCCTGTACACACCAGTTTCGTTATTCCCAAAAGAAAATTACAGTCTCCTCCGCTCTTCCTTTTCGCAACGACTCGGCGACATTTGCATATTCGACGAAGAAAACGCGTCGTTGCTTCCATTCGATTCGATCGTTACCTTCGAACGACGCTTCTTTTTCTCCGTGTCCTGTAAGTAGGTGAAAGGGAATTAATTCGTCCGGAATTAGAAGATATTCCTATGCTCGAACGGTAGTAGAAAATTCTTTGCGAGTTTCGGGTAAGGTGTTCGATCGTCTTATCGCTGCATTCGTAACGATTCGTAACGAGATTTTCGGTGCTTTAGCAGGCAGCGTCGAATCTTGTTCGGCTGACTCTCCTATTATTGTAGTTCGGCCGTGCACGGAGGTCAATTGCGATAGATAAGCAGCCGACCTAACCCAGACCCACGCTGTACGTACATACGTGCATACGTGCATACGCATACGCATACGTATACGTGTGTCTACATCTCGTCGAATAGCCGAAAAGAACGACAAATATCTCCAGCGATATCGTTTCGAGAATATTTTAAGGCGTAACGCAGTTTGCGAGAGTAGTTTCGAGAACCGCGTGCATCACTTAAGATATTCTACGTATCTGCGAGAGCCTCTGTAACTTGCTGGCTAAAAATATTAACCGATACGAATTTGTTTTAGCAAATTGTTCTATATAATTGGAAACATCTGTATAGGAAAATATGCGATGGTTGTCGCGAAATTGCGTCTACGCTTTGATTCCTTCTGTTGCGGTTGTCGCGTCGGTCGCGCGGTATCGTCGCCGTTCGTTTCGGCTAAAGGCCGAAGCCCGCTAGCGCGACGCGCCGTGTCGAGCGGAGCTACCGGCAGCAAATGTCTCCTCGAAAATTTGCTGCCGGGAGCTTCGCTACGCTCCGCACAAGCGAGTATTGGCTCGTATAAAACCACGATCACATTTCTTCTCCGTGCCACCGCGTGTCGCACCAGCGAGCTTCGGCCTTGATCGCAAGCACTCCCGCGAGACAATAATAATCGTCGCGAGAGTACGGTTTATCGCTTGGTGTTACCCGTTGTTCCCTTTCTCGAATCGTACCTGTCGCCTTCGCTTCTTCTGTCTTCACCTTCGCCTTCACCTTCGCCTTCGCCGCTCTGCGCATCGTGTCGAGAAATATAATTCACGTGACCGTGCTTTTAATTAACTTTATCGCATTCGATGCTGCAGCTCTAAATTTAGACCACCTAATTTGCCCTATCGAACAAAAAGATTAGCGTAGAACGCTGTGTTGTGCGATCGATATTATGCCTATTGTACTATGCCCACCTAACTTCGCATATATCGGATCGTATTTTGTTTCGAGCGAAATCTCCGATTCTAAGTAACTATGAAAATCTAGGTATAATATATAGAACGGTGCACGGTATTCCGTTGAAATCGGTATTGTCGTCAACGATGACAGTTTCGTGGATTAAGCATACGCCGTATTGCGATACGTTGGTGCGCCTGCGCTTGCACGTGCGCGTGCAAGTTGAAAGTTAGGAAAGGTAGCTTCTTAAGAAGTATATGTATGTATGACACCGAGTTTGATGTTCTCGTTTTCAGGGTACGAACGGCCCGCGACCGACGTACGTGGGTGCTAACAATGGTAACGCCGGTGGCGCCGGGGGCGGCGGCGGCGGCGGCGGTGGAGGCAGCGGCGGTGGCGGCGTCGGCGTAGGTCCAGCAAGTGGCGGAGGTGGCGGCGGCGGAGGTGGCGGCGGCGGCGGTGGCGGAGGCGGAGGCGGACACGGATTGAAGGGGAACACTAGCGGCGGTCCACGAGGCGGAAACCCTGTGCAGTATCGTGCGAGCGGCGCCGCGGCGTGGGGTGCAGCACCACCCTCTCACGCAGCTGCGGCTGCGGCGGCGGCGGCGGCTGCCTACCCGCCGTACACGAGGTACCCGAGCGCAGCGGCCGCGGCTGCGGCGGCCGGTCAGATGCCGGTCGGAGCACAGCAACTACCGCCTACGGCGAATCCCTACGCCACCGCCTCCTACGCACAACACGCGTCGGTAAGTTTGCTCTTTTTTCCTTTATTTTTCTCTCGTCTCCTCTGATTTTTTCTTAATTTCTCTCATTCTCTCTCTCTCTCTCTCTCTCTCTCTCGCGCCCGTCTTTCCTCATTCTCTCTTTCTCGCTCGTCCTCCCTCATTCTCTCTCATTTCGCCTATTTTTTTCTTTTCCTCGCAGTTTAATTGACGCTAAGCGAATCTCGAGGTTCGATCGATTCGCAAGTGTCAACTGCTTCTTCGCTGTTCGCGACAATTTCGTGGATAACGCTAGGTACTACGGTGCCGATATCGAAAGTATCTGTTGCATAGGTTATCGTATCATAGTATGTCGCTGCACTGCCCTTTCAGAAATTAACCTCCAATAGGGACTATACGAGTGTTGAAATCGTGTAAGTAACTGTCCACCGAACATGCGTCTCTCTACGACAGCGTAGTGTGTCGTGCGTTATGCGCCACAAGCTACATGCGTATACGTATTTAATTTTATCTGTACATATACGAAAAGGAAGAATAAAAAACTTACTAAATCTACTCGAATCGAACGCGAGAGATGACACTTTTTTTTACTAGAAACAGATATCCAGTTGAAAAACTCGTTACGCTTTGCGCACTGGAAAGGTTAACCCCTTTTTTACGAACCGGGTGGGGCTATGATAACACTGCATACTGTTCTTACACGATGCGCAATCTTTTACGGAGGATTCCAACTCCCCCAAATTTGGCATGAAACTTCTTCATTGATCCGTGGCCACACGTATATATTCCTTACGAAACAAAACATCGTATTTATTGGTATAGTAACACGACACGCATCGATCGGCAGAACATTTTCGAATTGGTTATCGCGGATAAGCTTGATATTGTCGATTCTAATAAAAATTGTAAAAATGTGATATTCCAACGGGTTTTCGCACGGGTTTTCGAGGAACCAATAAATAAGTTGGAGAATCGACGCGTGTTGCACCACGGTGGTTTCCAACCCCTTTTACCGGGTGGGGCTAAAATGATTTTCACGACATCTCGTCGTGTCGTACAGGAGTGGTGTAGTTTTATCTTCGAATGTTCGCAGCTTTTACCCTACCGTGTAGATACACCGTAATAGTTTATTTTGTTTCGTCTTATTTTGTTCTTTCCTTATATTTAATTCGTTAAATTAAATGTTTTAAGTAACGCTATTCCAAATTATCTCAGAAATGTAATGTAGTAGAAGCATATCGTTAAGTAGATTTTGTCTTATGTTTTCCAGTATGGTGGACAACGGGTACCAACGGCCTCTTCCCCAGCTAACACCAATAGTAGTTGTAGCAGTGCTAATGGTAGTCAAAGCGGGACAATGAGCACAAGTCTTAGCAATAATGCTATACAAGGACAGCAGGCAGAGCAACTGTCAAAAACAAATTTGTATATCCGTGGCCTCAACCAAAATACAACTGACAAAGACCTCGTTAACATGTGTTCTCAGTAAGTCGCTCGTGTGTTATTAAAGTATCGAAAAAAGGAACTCGACTTCTTTCGTCGTAAGCAGAATGTGTTTTTTGTGATACATTGTATTTTTGCAGATATGGAACTATCACCTCTACAAAGGCAATTTTGGATAAAAACACAAATAAATGTAAAGGTACTTCTTCAAATTCATTATACTACATTTTGATTTTGTAAAATATAGAATTTTGTAACTCCATGGACCCGGAAGTATCTCATTTATTAATGTTTATTGGAATTGTGTGTTACAGGTTATGGATTTGTAGACTTTGAGTCACCAGTGGCGGCAGAGGGTGCTGTGAAAGCACTGGTCGCCAAGGGCATCCAAGCGCAGATGGCGAAAGTGGGTATCTGGTTGCTCCGTAGACTGCCCAGTGTACGTTGGTTGTGCATGCAAGTACAGTAATACCAGAGTAACAGTAAACCTTTCTTCTCTTTCTTTTTCTGTTTCCCCTTTCTGTCTGTCCTTTCTCTCTCTCTCTCTCTCTCTCTCTCTCTCTCTCTCTCTCTCTCTCTCTNAGGCAATTTTGGATAAAAACACAAATAAATGTAAAGGTACTTCTTCAAATTCATTATACTACATTTTGATTTTGTAAAATATAGAATTTTGTAACTCCATGGACCCGGAAGTATCTCATTTATTAATGTTTATTGGAATTGTGTGTTACAGGTTATGGATTTGTAGACTTTGAGTCACCAGTGGCGGCAGAGGGTGCTGTGAAAGCACTGGTCGCCAAGGGCATCCAAGCGCAGATGGCGAAAGTGGGTATCTGGTTGCTCCGTAGACTGCCCAGTGTACGTTGGTTGTGCATGCAAGTACAGTAATACCAGAGTAACAGTAAACCTTTCTTCTCTTTCTTTTTCTGTTTCCCCTTTCTGTCTGCTCTCTCTCTCTCTCTCTCTCTCTCTCTCTCTCTCTCTCTCTGATCTCTTTCTTTCCATCTCTCTTCATTTTCTGTTTTTGTCTTCTTTGTCGTCGTTCTGTCGACGCTGTCACCCTTCTTTGTGTCCATCTGTGATCCTCCTGTTTTTGCATACTTTTACATACTCCTTTATACCCCCACTGATACTTGATTATTAAATGCCATTAATTTGAGAGAAATTCTTATTCCAGTACTACTGTGACAAACAGACATATATGCAGTACTTTGATAGATTATTCATAATATATAAAGTTGGATAAAAAGTACTGAAAGTTCAGTTGCAGTGGATGCCATGGTTGTCTTGAAACGATTCGTTTGTAGGTCTCGAACAGACATATTTTCGATTTTCTTATGCGAATTTGCTTATACATTTTTTAAAAAGTTTTATTACAGTAGCTAAAATGATCTACTTTCTTTTTGGTTTACCTCTTTTGATCATAAAAATTGAATCGTTATGATCACGAACAATAATGATTTGTCGTTTTTGGAAAAAGAAATTGTCATTTAAGAACCCAGTATAAAATCGTTTGAATAATTCACTTTAAAATGAACCTATACGAAGGCAAGCATGGCATTGTATCAATGGCATCATTGCTCTGCTCTCAGCCCCTCTAGATACGCTTAGAAATTATATTTTGACTAAAACTATTTAGTATTCCATAATTGTTGCGTTATGTAGGAAATTTGTTTCTAGCATAGTGATATTGAATAAAAAGAAGATAATAAGTATTGTAAGGACTTCTTCAGAAGAAATTGGAAATATTTGTACATAACGACAAGTGAGAAAGGCTAGTTCACAGTATAATTACCGATATAATAAAGTGATTAAATAGTCAAGCAACCTTTGTGGAAAAGGAGTTACTAGGACTATTACTAGAGGGGTAATTTCGAGTACACGCTATATTTTCATTGATAACAAGGATAATACACGAGAAAATTAAATGTAGTAAACAAAGGGAAGCAATCGCCCTAAAGTCATAAATATTTATCTAACACAGTTTTATTTATATGCATATTTGTATAGATCCGAAGAATATATTTTGCTAACAGTGAAAATATAGTAGCAGGCAATTATGCGTAATATTAAAGTAAATCGATTGGAAGAAAGATATCTTTATTTTGAAAAGAAACAGCAAAACTCTTCCTATTGGAACCTGTCTCACTTGTCTGAGAGTCTCTAGTATTCACCAGTTCTATCTATCATTCTGCCTCACATACCTACCAAACTGTCGTCGCTTGTTGCTATATCTCGGCCACAAATTGCTGATACTGCTGTGTCAATACATTTACAAATCATGTCTGAAAAATTACACCCATTTCAGCACTAATCGAAGCCTTTAGCAACCATCTAATGTACTTTCAACTATCTGTGTCCACGCATAAAAACCTACGTAAAAGAATTCGCAGCCCCCCCCCCCCCCCCCCCCCCCCCCCCCCCCA